GAAGAACTATAACACTTCAGATAACCCGTTTACATGGAACTTCAGCCAGAAGCTTACTAGAAGGAGAACCAGGCTGACACTGGATGGCTTCAGTACCGACTGAGTTTCCGAATGCAGCAACCGACTTATCCAGAACAACTCCATAGATGCTTTATCCGACAATCAAGAATGCTTTTGTTCCAGGTGATTTGTTACACTCGATCTCGGACCATGGCAAAATCAAGGGGATAGTGAGGTTAGAAGGGAGGGGGTGGCTGGTAGCCCAACAGAGGGTAACTAAAATTGGCGCTGTCGCAGATAGGGGGCATTGGCGGCAGCGCATTTGAAACCGTTCAACATCTTTTTCTATAGGCGGTAAAAGATGGAGAGAAAGAGACTACAGGGGCGTGAGCGACGTTAATTTCCATTCTGCCCCTTCCTAGGCTTAGCGCCAGGGAATGCCCCTTATCTTGAGATAGCACCCGAAAATTTTGAAACTGTGCATCACGTGAAAGTTGTCTACCAACGATTTCCTTTTCAGATTTACCATGGCAATGGAGGAGCAACATGAAAAAACAGCACAACATCTCATGAATATCTCTGAATGGTCCACCAGTTACTCCCAACTAGCAATATTTTGACTGTGTTCTCTCATCTAATAGCAATCAATGTTCACCTCGAAGAGTACTACGAAAATGTTAGTAGGGGGGGAATCACTGAGATTTGGCATGCTATTGTATTCCTTGACCCTTTTTTATTAGTTCTGTTGCCAGCTGGTTATCAAAACTACAGTAATAAAGAGGTACGCCAATGGTGTCGAAATATGTATATGAACCACCGAGATATGAAGAGCAAAGTCAGTGTTTATCACAGCCATGTAGTGTTACGATTTCAACATCAAGAGGTTATGTTTATCTGAAACTTGAAGTATAAGTGAGACCCTTGTGTAGATCTCACCATACTCCTGAGTTCCCAATGTTGGCAAAATTCAAAGGTAGCTAAATATATTAGGTTGTCCCATAATTAGTGAATCACTTTGGGTATTTTTGAATTCGAATTTTTTTCTTTTTCATATGGAGTCTCTGCTCATCCAAACATACATCCCTGTCATCTTACAATGTATGCCTATAAAGGATAAAAAGGATAAAGCATTTGCCGTTGATCAATCCCTTTTTGGGATGCGGCACGCATTCTACTTCCATTTGTACATTCGCAGTGGCGTTTGAATGCGATGTGGCCTATACAATGACTTGCGGGGCCAGCCGATGTACAAGTCAGTGTTTTTATCCTCCCAGACAAGTCTGGTACCAATTAACCGACCCCGGAGGGATGGAAGGCTTGGTTGGCCCGGGCGACTCACGACCCAGGATTTGATCCCGGACCGCTCGCGTGGTAAGCGCGCCACTTGTCACTACACCACTTCCGCCCTCGTATTGCCTATACAGGGAAATTTTGTCGCTGTCTTATCTCTAGAAATCCAGGAGCTATTGATCGAAGAAAGATCGGAAGTCGAGTTTGAGGTCATGTCACTTAGCGTAAAATTCCTCCCTGGGAAGAGCGCTAGAGGTCAAACTGAGTTGCCTCTTGTTGGCACGAGGATAGGGCCACACAGAGGAAGTGGAAGAATCGGCTAGCTTGAGAGTCTCTAATTTTTTATGAATATTCTCCGCAAGGTGGGTCGAACGACCTCAGGAAAAAAGCAGACTTTGTCTTGCTTTACTTTCAAATTGAATGCGCCGCCATTACGCTGTAGATGTTGATCTTCTTCAGTGACTCTAGTATTACTAGGCGGCGGTTCCCAGCGCATGGTCACTCTCGTGCTCCACCAATATCTCTGAAGGGTCGGACTAGAATGAGGTTTGGCTTTTGCTATCAGAACTCCCGAATCGTTCACGCTGGGCTACTGCTCCTCGGAGATTTGCTAGTACACTTCACGCAGTCCAGAACCCTGGTGAATAAGCTGGATGATCACTGTAAGGAACTAAGGGAGATCAGAAGGAACATGACGATGTCAGATCGTGTGCGGAGCTGTTTCGAGCTCAAAGCACACGAGATACAAATTAAATATTTTAAAATCGTTACAACTCTACGTAGATGTCTACATTCCATTATTTTAACAAGTCGGGCATGCTCTAGCAAAAGGCGGCTAGTTCGTCCATATTCACGCTTAGTGGCGCTGGGTATAGCACTGAGAGGTCATCTTCAACTAAAAAAGCCAACCTCTCGATAGAGTGAACTATAAGCAGACCGTGGAGTGAGGGAGCGTGCCCTTGCCTATCTGCTGGTCGATTCTCTATATTGTTGGGCGTTTGAAAGATCTTAATCAGAAGTGATTAAGAAGGGAGCTCAAAAATAGGTTCCAGAAAAATTGAAATATCAGCCACGGAAGGCAGCATGGAAATGGGCTGAGTAATTGCTCAGGTAGGATAATGTGGATGCTACTTCGCAAAACATGTTTCACGCCTTCACCATTTTTCTTGGATTTTTAATAACAATAAATGTAAAGTGATTCACTAATTATGGGACAACCTAATATTAGATATGTACAAAATTTTTCTGGAAGTGGGATTCAACCAGCCCCACCACTAACTTCAATACAACGCCAACGTTTAGAGGAAGTCTCGCCACTTTCAATCAGTGTCGATTTGCTGCTGCAAACTTCGATTCGCAAACCACGACATCAGCCTTACATAGCCTCTTTCGGAATCCTTTTGGTTTTTCCTAAATCAAGACTTCTCCTTCAGAGTGCCACAGTTGAAGCGCGTGCAAGTGAAGGGGCCCACTTCGGGACGCGCCGTAGGCTTCACCTCCCTTCTCATTGATGGACCCATTTGAAAGATAAAATATCCGTCGGGAAACCTGCGATTCACTGCTTCAGGAACTACCATTTAGACCCTGCTACCCCCCCTTGAATACGAAAATTTCATGTGGCACAAATAAAATTGTTACTGAATCCGCGGCCAAGCTTGCACAGCATGGCCACACTTTAACGTTTGTCCTCCCACAGTGATGATCCCAATGCATCTATTCGGCCCTTCCCCTTCCAGTGTGCCTAAGACACTGGTGTGCAAAATTTAAAGGAATCTTCCACGGAAAAAGCTCCGCCTCCATTACCACAGAAAAACGATACCTTAGGCCCCTAGCCTCATGAGCATAGCAAAAAGAACGGAACATAAGCGTTAGTTTCGATAATACTAATCCTACACACAAGACAAAATGATCACTCTTTCCGTGGAAGATTCCTTTAAGGTATCGTTTTCTGTGGTAATGAGGGCGGAGCTTTTTCGTTTAAGGTCGTATGGTTTCGCCCTGCTAGCCAACCTAGCTCGATGAAATTTGGCGCACACATAGAAGGAAATGTTCACAGCATAGTGCAGAGGGTTACTGATAGAAACACGCAATGGGCGATTGGAAAAGACATTTTTCTCAAAGACAGTGACTGAAGCGGTTGATGGGTGAGGCTACTCCAACTCATGGTAGACCTTCAAAAGAGAGGAGCTGGTTCTTGATGGGGTGTATGAACACTACGGACTGCAAAGCATGCTCTGCCACGTGCTCCATAACGGCCACAAGGTTGGTTCAAGAGTTCTTGTGAGAAGCGTTCCATTCCCTCGAACATCCTGATTGACAACTGCTGGGCGTTATTGGCGCACGATGCGCTACAACAGCTCTCCTTAATGCATGCCACACGTGCTCCTTGGGAATTGAGTGGAGGAAGCGGAAGAGGCTCAATCAATCGTCCAAGATCCTAGCGTTCCAACAGTTTTCCACCTACGCTGCTCGATGCGATCGTGCATTGTCTTTCATACTAATGGACTCAGGATCAAACGCAGCCCAGAAAAGATGCACATAAAAGAGCAGTACAGCGCACAATAACGTGGATCAGAAAGTGTACCGCGATCAAGGTTGGGAGGTCAGAACGGTCTGACAACTTTATGCTTCCCACACCATATCGCCTGGACTCTCAAACACGCATTCTACTTTCGTCCACAATGTTGAAGAAGTAGGAAGGTAGAAGTAGTAAAATTTGACCTGGCCTATAAATTGAATCATGGGAGCCAGATGCTGTATTCCAAAAGCCGGGTTTTTGTTAATCAGATGAGTCTTATACCAATAACTCGACCCCAAAGAGACGGAGAATTGGTTGAAAAGACGGCGTACGAACTAGGATCTCATCTTCGTGAGCGGGTAAGCCACTTACTGTTCCAGCATTTCGCCCATTGGATGGTAACTCTATGAAGCTTGACCATGGCCACCTTACCGCCTAGGACACATTTCTCAGCAATACATATCACATCCCTCCGCTTTCCCTACGGCTCCTCAGTTCTGCTTTTTGACATATGGTTTAGTCAGCTGCTGATATTTTCTGAATTGTGAACTGAAAATATTTGTCATTTTTGTTGTCTACTGAATCTAAAGAAGTCAATACCCCGGACTTATCCCACTTCATTGCACATTACTTTGGCTTGGAGGCACAGGGCTTCTTACAAAAGAGTCTGTTTGCTCCTGCATTTCTCAGACGGTTCATAAGCTTCCCAGGCTCATAAGTGACTTGAGGACAAAAGGAGTGACCGCAAAACAAAGAGGACAAACGGAAAAAGAATGACTATAAAAAAGGAAGAAAATTTGACAAGCTGGTTCATGACTGTCTGCATGGAAAGGAATGCTTCTGTCTTCACACAGCAGAGCAGACTTGCTTCTTTCATGTTCACTAAGAATTCTGTTGATGTGAACCTTCGATTTATGTAATATCCCAAAATCCCTAAGAAAAGGCAACGATGATGACAGCGAGACATGAAAAACCTATCATAAAATTACTCAAGAGGATCAAGGCACAAATGATAGAAAAAATGGTTGAAATTTGCAAAAAAAAAAACACGTAAAAATGCTAAATAATCAATAGGAGGTTCACAGGAGTCTCCAACTGGTTTTGCACTCAAAATCAATTGAGTTATCACTTGACAGTGAGGTAACAAAATGAATAAAAATATAATCGATAGTCTTGTCCTGCGGAGCCTTTCTTACATCGGACCGTACGTTTGATTGTTAAGAAGATCACGGCCAACAATCAATCGCATTATTTCGTTCGAGCCTTCCAAGATGTGATGAACCTGAAAATCGATCAATATGCTTTGGTTAACAAGGATTGTAAAGTTTACTGTAGCACTCTCAAGCTTCTGCCTTATTGAGCTTGACCTGGGTCGGGTGAATGAAAAAGATTTGAAAAATAACGCTGATCTAAAATGCCCTTATCCCCTCATATTTCGAAAAATTGATTGTTTTGTACGTCTATTCTTTATCTATTTTTTTCCTTCTCATTTTTCAATAGTATATTCATCAGAATAAGTCTATCTAATCATTTCATCCATGCAGTACGAAAGCAATTAAAAAGTAATCGATTGAAAAAATTCTAAAAACACTTCCATTCAAAATGCCAATTTCCTATAGAGCAGTCAGTGTCGCGGTTTTATGTGAAAGATAGAAAATAGAAAATTTTCTTTACCATGTGTAGCTTGAAAGGCTTGACAATATTCCCTAAAGGCAGTGGTCATGATGACTAGAGGGCGAGGTGATTTTGATGTCATTGAATGTCACTGGTGGAAAGGCGTTGAAGGAGGATTCCACGATGAGGGCCAAGGTTGAAGAAGGGAAGCTTACCTAGTGGAGAGCAGGCGGACCCCCTATGGGTGCGGACCAGGGCGCAATTCGCATCGAAGGATATCCCTGGCAATTTAACATGGCCTTCTTTGGCGCATTTGGCCAGGAACGCTCACCAACTATCTGACCACTCTCCGCAGCAGGGTCTACCCTCCGTTCGAACTGTTCGAACGTGAGGGGGGTCGCATTTGTGTTCTGGGAGGGGGAAGGGGGGTCGCACTATTGTACCCCCCCCCCCCCGCTCGACGGCTGTTTTTGGGGAAAAGTGGGTGGAGTTTCGGAGTTTTAGGTAGGTTTTGGGCTGTGTCAACTGGTCTCAGAATCAAATACTATAGAAGAGGGAGAGGTCGCGGTGGAGGAAGGCTGGTTGTATTGGGGGGTCGCAACTGTGTGTTGGAGGGGTCGCAACTGGACCCTCTCGAGAGGGGGGGTCGCAAAAATCCCGAAAATGTTCGAACGTGACGGTTGACCTTGCTCCGCAGGTCTATTCGTGGTGGGTGATAGATAGCAGAGAGAGCGTTAGCGTTGAAGAGGGCACAGCGATGAGAGTCGCATCAATGCGGAAATCAACGGGCAAGGAAGGGTTCTCGGGTTTCCGGGCCGTTTCACATGGTTTCTTCTTTACCTCAGCTCACTAACCACCTTTACCCTTTTTCTCAATAAGCTACCTTTCCATCGCAAAATCCGCCTTCAAGAGAAGGTCCCCATCACACCTCGGAACGCAAAGAGGTCTCGTTCAGCAATGACTTCACGTGACGTCATCAGAACCGCACTGCTCACCAGTCATCATTATCGCTGCCTTTAAGTTGTTGCTTGCTGCAACCCCCCCCCCCCCCTTATGAACTCAAATAAAAATAATATTTGGATGCGTGATACTTTACACTTCCCACAGTAGCCACCCATTTGTGAGGGAAATGAATCAATTTTGCCTTGATGCTCTTGATGTCAGTTTAGAGAAACATTAGTTTATTCTAATCGGGAATGAGGGAAGTAATAAAATGCGGGCGACGGACTTTTGGCTCGTCCGGGTTGGCACGCGGCAAATTGCGCGGCGAGCGGCGCGGCGATCCCGACGCATCGCGGGAATTCAACACGTCAACGTGTGAAGATTGCGGATAAAATCCGCAAGGTTCTGCAATTCGAAATACATCTGAACGGCTGGAATTTTGAGGACAGCGGTGGTTGTAGTAGGAAGAGATGAGAAGGAACTAGCATAGTGCTGTTATGGCAATCAGGGCGCTCATGTCTTTGGGGGGGGGGGACGTTCCATTGGGGGAAGTGAGTGAGCCAATTACTGTGTTTGGGACCGAGACTTAGGGAGGAGAAGGGATTCTGGGGGAAGTAATTTGTGTTCTCCCTGGCGTTCCTCCCCTCTGCTGGGCTTAGTCCTAGTGTCACCTACCATCGACCCTGTTTTGTTGTTTTGTTTTGAATGTTTCTCCTTTGGACGTGAGCGCCTCGATCAGCAAAACATATATAGTTGACATTAAATACCTCAACAAAAACTCCCAATTTAGTGACTCTTATTTGCTTTGATGGTAGTAGTGACATTTACATGAAGGTCCTCACTCATCTCCTTGCGCTGAAATCTCCTCACCGATACTGCTGCTTCCAATCCCGCGAGCGGAAAGATTTTCAAACAGCAGAACCATGCGGAGTTTATCCGCAATCTGCACACGCATTGACGTGTTGAATTCTACCCGAAGAACCCGCGAAGCCTTGTCCCGTCCAGATCGCCGCGCGTGCCGCCGCAACTCGCCGCGTGTCAGCCCGGACGAGCCAAAAGTCTCGCACCCATAAAATGTATAAGTGAAATAATATAAAAATTTCTTAAGAACAGTTACCCGCAGATCTCGTAAGTACTGTTGTATAGGGTAATCCTTCAGATAACCGTATCCACCAAACATTTGTAGCGCCTGGTTGACCACCTGCAAAGAATATGATCTATAGCGATTTTCATAATGAAAAACGATGATACTCTCAATTTTTCATATTTTTGTACATGGAAATGGACAATAGTGAAGATCTTTTTGAAGTTTATCTCTTCGAAGCATTTACAAGCTCACCCCTTAGAAGGACCCGAATCTGAAACAGCGCATTATTTTCCGTGCAAATTATAGGAGCTACGCACTCATTCGGTCACCTAACTCCAACGTAACAAGCACAGTAATGTTAAAAAATGCGTAGCGCCTGATTCAGGCAATTTTACAAACACGCGCCGTACTGTCGTGAGCTTCAGAGCAACCGTACTACTTTAGCTATCTACCTGACATCTGATGGTGGAAGGCAGTTTTAGAGCAAGACAAAGTTGCCAGCCTAGAGATGGAAAGAGAATTATATTTCGGTAAGCTAAAGGTACCAACGCGTTCTTTGAATCTGCTGCTCGTGGTTTCCCCTCCCACCCCTCCCCCCCCCTCGATGCCCTTTCGTTTGTCGGCATTTGGAGGTGATATTGGAAGACAGTTATTTTCTGACCTCCTTGTTCATATTTCAACGTGGGGCCTAAATTAGTGGTCGTTATTGTTGTTGACCTTTAATTGTGCTAATTTTTTTTGCTTTTTTGTTCCGCTATTTGCCTTAGCACGTCCATCAGGGGGAAAAAAGATGAAATGGCATTCCATCCGAAAAAAGCAGCCTTTCAGACATTTGCGAACTTAGTTGTTCTATGTTACTTGTTTCCTTATCCTCATTGTCAACTTAACAAGGTTATCAGAGCCGCCGAAGAGCACATTAAAATAGGGCATTTCCCTGTAAGCCTCTATAAGAATAGCAGTGATGCCACGAAAATTCTGAGCTTTTTAGAAAACGAGATAAACGATGAACGTGGAAAACGTTGAAAAAGGTGTAAAATCACTTAGCAAACGAGGAGCGTTGCGCACTCACCGTACTGTTCAACCTTGTGACTGGTGTCAAATGCTAAATAAATGCGGCCACCATGGACTTATACAGTACGTGCGATGATTGTTTGAAGGCAAACCCCGGGACTAGCCCAACTTGAGGGAAGGATACCGCGAGGAAATTGTAAGGTCCCTACCTACCTAGATCACTCCAGCTTCGCCGCAAAAGTTGCGCGGTTAGGGCGCTAATCCTTACGGGCCTGCAACCATCGACCCCGTTGCAACGCTTCCCACCCACCTCGATATCGGCGTGCTCTCTCGAACGGCGTGATCTCTCGCGTGTTTTGTCTTCTTTGACCGCCATCGTTCCACATCCGACCTTTTTGAAGGTTAAGGCCTTAATTTCAGCGATCCCAAAGATTTCTCTAGCTTTCCTTTCCACTTTCAGGCCGCCCGCAGCTCAGTCATCACTACGAAGCGCTCTTATCACCAATTTTGTACTGGGGCTTGCCTTCAAAAAAGGATGCGAAAATGCGAATTCGCGTCATTTTCGTGTTTTTTTTTTCATAACACGGCTGCCGCTTTTCTTCATAAAGAACAACATTAGACTAAGTAACCGATTTCTACGTACGAGACTGATTCCCAGGATTTCAAGGAAGTTATTTCATTTCATTTTCAAGAAGTCGGTGAAACTCCAGTTCGGGGTGGGGGAGGGGACCACTCCATTGCTCCTCCAATACTTCAGATGAAGGTGAGAGCGCTTATGATCGTAACAATTCTAAAAGGTATTTCTGATAAATATCGGTGTCTATATGGGAGTTCTGAGATGCTTTCACATTTCCGCCTGCCATGGTCCAAGGGAACGGTCCTGGACCAGGAGAATGGACACCTCTGCCTAGGCTAAGGGTGCAGGAGCTCCAGGGTGGATCACCTGTGCAGAAAAGTGGATGGGATGTGGGCAGGTAGTGTGGAATGTAGGACATCCACCGGTCCTTATCAAAAGTACGCTCGAAATGAGTCGTTCACTTATTATCTTATCCGTAGTGTTCGATAGCCCAAAGAACTGCTCTCTAGTACTACGGATAAGATAGCAATGGAGTGCCCCCCCCCCGAACTGGAAGTTCACCAAGAAGTCTCTTCCAATTCAAAAGATATTAAAAAGACGAAAAGACGTGCACTCGCGTTTTGCGCATTTTTTTCCGAACGGTTGAGCCAGGTACAGTACCCACCTCAGAGCAGTTCTCCGTCACATGCAGTTTGGCCATGGCGCACATCGATGCTTTGTGAATGCTGTCAGCGTCCAGATGTCGTGCTGCATCTCGTACCATCAACCTGAAGAAAAGGCC